AAATATTGTTAGAAATTGCTTCTCTTTTCTTCAAATTTGGAATTAATTGAGTATATTTTACCGGATCATTATAGTATAAATCCAAAATACATTTATTACATATATATTTACCTTCATCCTCTTTTTTCTCCGTTCAGCACCCTCAATAATTTTTTTCTACTCAATTTTTTCTTGCTCTATTGTAGAGCACTTCAACATCTTTATTACATTGAAAGCATTTTTCTAACTTCATTCTTTTTCTCTTTTTCTTAATCATTTTGCTTATTTATATATAGACAAGAGCAAAAAAAGAAAATCCAATCAATAAATTAACTACTGCCTACCGTCTTAAAATTGATGACGGACTTTTTGGCTTCCTCTTTTTTAATTTAATATGAGGAAAATAATTTATTAATCTTTTTATTTCTTTTCTTTACTTCATCATCTATATTATCATTTTACATTTCTAAAAAAAATAGCGAACGAGCCATAAACCCCGCTATTTTCCGATGATTAGCAAAAATTTAAGTCTTTTTTTTTAATTTTTTCAACAGCCATAAACCCCGTATAATAGGAGGGTTTGCGACATTTTTACCCCCTCAAATTTTAGATAATTTTAAAAAGTAAAAAATAGATGGTATAAAATGGCGTCTGAAAATGGTCTAAATCTCGTATAAATACGGCATTCATGGCATTTTTTATATTTTGAAAATTAGTAAAAAAAATGTTCTAAATTTGCTCCAAATCACCCAAAAATTTAACTCTTATTCTCCATTTATTAATCAAAAATTTTGCTAGAATGATAACGATAATATTAATTATGGTATTTATATAATGCATTTATATATATATATATAAATGCTATATACGCGCGAGCATAAAGACCTAATAGAGACTTCAATATTATATAATATTGAGCCATGAATTAGAGCCAAATAGAAAAGCACGAGAAATTAAGTTAAAATGCTCTGAACCCCGTTAAAATACGGCGTTCGGCGGCGATTTTTGGCGAAAAAAGGGCGGGGAAAGCCCCCCGACGAATCCTGAGCGAGAGCGATGGATTCGTAAAAACGGCATGAGCCTAAAAGTCTCTTGGGTGTTTTGGATTGGCCGTGAGGCCACAAATCTCTAATTTTTCCTCCGTGAGGAAAGGAAAAATTAATTTTAATTCCTTTAAAATTTATTATTTCCTTTTTACCCGAATTGCCACTTAGTAATAGGTCCTCTCTAAAATCCTGGGCCCAAGGAAGATTTAGCATTTTACCTTTTTCGCAGCCATAGTTGCAAGCAAAGGGGAGGCGGGGGGCTTTGCGGACCCTTTTTGGCCTTCTCCTATTGGAGATAGGAAAACCTCGATTCTGGTAAAACTGCCGCCAAAAAGTCAGACCGCAAAAAGCACAAAAGTAAACCTAGAAAATACTTGCCTACTGAACCTCCAATTCAGAATTCTCCTGGCACTTTTAAAAATTCTCCTGGTGAATTTTGATGTTCTCCAAAAAACTAGTTCAATTAGTTCTCAACATTTTCCGGCCTTATAGTTTCTAATTGCTTCTGTAAGTAATTCAACTCAAATTCTAATTTAGGATAATGGTCAAGTATCAATTCTTTATTCCTTTGAATAGAAAAAGTCAACTTATGAACTAAATTATTAATCTTGCGAAGTTGATATAACTCTCCAAAAATGGCTTTGTCAGTTATCTTTTCCTTATTATGATATGTTTTTTT